GGGCAGTTGCTGAGAAGTGGGTGGCTCCTCCAAAGACAGGATTCGGAGAGGACCCAGCAACCGGCATTCCCACATGTACACTCAAAGTTGTGAAAACAAGGATTCAGATGGATTTTGTGTATTAATGTTCACATAAGTATTATCATCACATCCAAAAGGTAGAAAAAAACCCAAGTGTTTATCGACAGATGAATGAATAAACAAAATGTGATACATACATACATACAAGCAATATTTTCAGTTATACATAGAAATAACATCCTGATACATACTATAACATGAATGAACTTTGAAAACCTGCTTAGAGAAATAGGCCACACATGAAAGGGCAAATATTAGGTCATTGCACTTATATGCAATATCCAGAATAGGTAAATGAATATAGTCAGGAAGTATATTAATGACTACCAAGGTGAAAGTTTTGTGGTAATGGTTACATAATATTATAAATGTGCTTAATTCTACTGAAATGTACACTTAAACATGGGTGAAATGATAAATTCTGTTATATTATTACTTTACTGTAAACGATTTTAAAAAGAGAAAGATGAGCCAGTAGAATTCCTCTGCGAATTCTCAATTCAAACTTAAGAAACAATCTTCCTAATAAGATGAGGAATTAAAATGCAGAACTTGTGAACAGAGAAGCCATGGAATGAAAAGACTGGCAGTCAGCACCAAATCTAGTTAAACATGGGACGAAGTCTTAGTCCTCTTTGGCCAGGGGCGCCCAACAAGATGGGCAGTTCCTCTCAGTCCTACGTGATCTCGGCGAGTCAGAACGGACTGACTCTATGGAGGGTTTGGTTCTGGCCAAAGAGGATGTGAGGATTGTGAGGATAGTACAAGGTCGGGCAACATAGATTTCTTTTGTATTTAGGGTCACCGTGAGTTGAAACTGTCTCAATCGTACCTAACGCCCACCACTTAACCAGAAAAGAAAGCAAATCTAAAAACATGAGTGGAGTTGTATAATTTCAATATGTATCTGTAAACTATGTGTTGTACATAGGGTCTCTGTGAGTCAGAACTAACTCGATGGCACTTGATGAACCAAGTGTGTGTGTGTGTGTGTGTGTGTGTGTGTAGGAGATGGTGAAGAGGATGAATCTGGCAAACACAGAAGATGAGAGGAAAGGGGAGAAAGTAATAACTGTACACTTTCCATCTTACTGGGGACAGAGGTATCATTGTAATTTTATTTCTCAAACTGATAAATTGAGGACTAGGAGCCTATAAATAGAGGCTTTTAAGTATGTTTACTAAATAGGCAATCATAAGAATAATGAATCCAAAATATTTTCTAACTAACCAGGGTTAAAGAAGGGGAAGAAGCAGCGAAGGAAAAGTAAACTAATATAAAATTAAGAATTATCTTGAAAAAGATGAGAAACAATAAAACGTGTGTACATGTGGGCAGATGTATAATTAAAAAGATGACAAAAATGACTAAGACTAAGTATCAACTAGATAAATTGACTTATTAAAGCACGGTTCTTAAAACAGGGTAAAAAGAATAAATGCATCGATATGCCAACCGAAAAGATAGGGAGCTATAATAAGAGTATTCAAAATTTGAAAATAAAAGCATAGGCAAAAATTACCCAATGAATGCGAGGAAACAAAAGAATCGTCACTAATTGTGGGCAATGGTGGCAAAGTTCAAGTGTTCAGTTGCTAAACAGAAGATCAGTGGTTCAACCGTACGAGCGGCTCTGTGGGAGAAAAGACCTGGTGCTCTATTCCCTTAATATTACAACCTGGGGAACTCTATGGGGCCATTCTCTGTCCCACAGAATCGCTACTAGTTGATAGCACATACAAAATAATATTTAAAAAATGAATTAAAGGCAAAAAAATTAATTTCCAAAATAACTATATTGATTAAAGGTACAGTTATTAAGTCATAAATGTTTATGAGCAAAATTTAAGATTAAGCTTATGTAAGAATTAATTATAAGGAGTTTTGGGTGCATCAGTTTTGAATGATTTTAGCATATCTATTTTAGAAAAGTCATAAAGAACAGTAATATTATACCAAGGTTGTTCAAATAAATATATAACAAATGCTATAACTTGATGGAAAGCACATACATTCTATGTAAACATTCATAAATCACTGACAAAATATGACTATTAATTAGGTCATAAAGAAAATGTTATTAAATTCCAAAATTTAATAATGGCTATCATTCATGGTAATGGAAAAACTATCAAACAAATAATGAAAATAAAACATACAAGCCAATGCCAAATGGCTAAAACGGTACGCAAAGGAAATTTCACATCTTCCAACACTTACGTCTCATTAAAAAAAAAAAAAAGAATGTACATTAATGAATTGAGCAACTAAGTTAGGAAAAAAGAAAACGAAAAAAGAATGACAGGAAAACAGCAGAAATTAAGGGGGGAGAAAAGGACAGCTAGTCGACGTTAATTTCCTGTTTCTGAAAGAGGAGAATGAAGACGTGAAATAAAAGCTAAGCCTTAGGAGAATCTGATGCAGGGCCTATGACAGGGGTCAGCAAAATGTAACTCTGGAGCCATCTGTGGCTCTGAAGCAAAACGGAAACATTTTAAAGGATATTATTCAGATAACGGTGCTTTCATTTGTTGTAAAAGTATATTTACGGCGCTTGAATCATTTTTAATTGTTGTGACAAACATGATTGGCTCTTTCATTTCAAAAGTTTGCCGATCCCTGGTCTAAGAGAAAGCTTGTACTACTTGGAGTGTGTTTGAAGGATGAAATTATTTCAAAATAAAGTTTACAAAACAAATTATTTTGAGACAGATGAATGTAAATAAAAATGATTGCTACTAGGATACATACATCAAATCCATACATGCACAAAACTGTGCTTAAACATGTTTCTGTGCTCAGGGATGGTTACAACCTCTCTCAAGTCATAAACTCATTAAAAACTCACTCACTACCACAGAGTTGATGTCAACTCAGAGTGACCATATAGCATAAGGTAGACCTGCCCCTGTGAATTTTCAAGACTATGGGAGCCTGTGGTAGTCACCAAATCTGGTGTCAATTTAAGGATTAAGAGTTTAGAGGGTGGGTAGTCTAGGCTGTCAATCTGGAGGTAGCCAATGAGACTTCTGTGTGGGTATGGCCTGCTCCTGAGAATTCTGGGAAATCTGGGACTTCCTCCTTGGAGGCGGAAGACGCCTCTCTCTCTGCCACTCCCTGGGAGACATTTGCAGAAGATAAGTCACATGGACACAATCAGACCTCTGAAGCCGGAGAAGCCACAGAGAGAACCCTGCCAGCGCCGAGATGCTTACAACGCCACTGGACCCAAAGACTTTCTACCCACTGGCTTGTGATCGTCCTGCATTTGGCTTCTTTGCATGCATTTCATGAATCTGAAGAATGCTTTATAGATTGGTATAGGACATATGGGCTAATATCAGACTTACGGCCTTGTACTGGACTGGGTTGGGATGTTTTCTGGATGTACAATTGCTCTTGTATATATACCTCTTCCATACACACACGTGTGTCTATGAACTTGTTTCTCTAGTCCACCCGGACGAACACAGAGTAAAAAGCTCCTTCTCCCCCAGAGCGGTTGATGGCTGTGAAATCTGACCTTCCAGTTAGCAGCCTAATGAGTCGCCACTATACCACCAGGGGTCCCTTAGGCTCTTTAGGATGCCTTTGAAAAAATGATCGAAAGTGGTTTCCAAGGGATCTGTTGGGTCGGTTAACTCAAGGCAGACAGGTCAGCTCGGGTTATGGGGCTGGTTTTGGAATTCCAAAAAGTGATCTTGATAGACTTTCAAGGACACTAGGGCACGCCAAAACCTGGGTAGCATGGTTTTCTATACTAATGTTGTTTAAGAAAATATTTCAAGCACACAGAAAACATTGAAAGACGTGGTTTCATTCTGCTTACCTACATAGTATAATTACCAGCTAAATTTTAGAATTTTTAGTATTTGTTTTTGCGATGAATGGGAGAAAAATTTTGAAATGAACTGCAGACATAACATTTACCTTGAAAATATGTCAACAGTCATCATTTGGAGAGCTCTAATTCTTTAATTTCGGCCTTATGAGGATCTCTACGTTCCTCTGAATTGTTTTGAGCACTGATTTTCTAATTCACTTCAGCACTCAAGGTGCTTTCTTCAGTTCTGAGTTGACTGCCATGGGTATGTTGTTTTCTCTAGGGAGGCATGAGTTTTAAGAGACATGATGTGGCTATTCTAGCCAGTCTTTGTAATCCCTACCAAATGCTTAGGTATGTGTATTAGTCTGGATACTTTAGAGAAACAAATCCATAGAAACTCATGTATAAGAGAGAGTTTTATATAAAGGTTAAGTGCATATCAAGAAAACATCCCAACCCAGTGCTGCCCAAACCCACAAGTCCAACATTAACCCATATGTCCGACACCAATCCACAAAGTCCTCCTCCATCTCACAAAACAGACACAATGATACTGACTGCAGGAGGAAAGCCCAGTCAGTGAACGTGTAAGCATCTCAGCGCTGGCAGGGGTCTCCACACGGCTGCTCCAGCACCCAGGGCTGCATCAGGGTAGGTCCATGTGGCTTCTCCTTGGGGATGTCTTAGAGGAAGTGAGCCTTGTCAGCCAAAGCAGGGAACTGGTTAAGGCAGCTGCACCCTGGTCCAACCATCACAAAGCAAGAGACCCGAGAACTAGAAAGGCAAGGCTCACTGAGCCACTTATCCCTCTGCCCTTCAGTTAACTCCACATGTGTTTATCGGCCAGGTTGGCACAGTAAACTAACCACCTCAGTAGCAAATGTGAGGTGTTTGTGGCCCACTAAGGGGATTGGATAGCTTAATAATGTACACACGGTACATGGCACCCATGTGGTAGGGCCATGCAAATAGGATATATGAAACTCTAACATGGAGACTAATCAACTTTGCCATCATTCTAGGTTTAAAATTAGTCATTTCAAAAGCAGGAATGAGAATCTATCTCACTACCATCAAGACAGAAGAGCTGGGAGAAGAACATGTCCTTTGGAGTCCAAGGTTCCTACATGCTGTATCTCTTCAGTCCAGAAGGCAGCTGAGGCACCAGAAAAGTGGGGTGAAGCACAGGCAGCAGCACCACTCCAGGGCATTAGGTAGAGCACTGGGCTTCTCGGCCAACAGGACAGGAAAGCGGAGTGCTTTCGGGCAGGCGGTTTCCTTGCAAGATGGGTTGCTTCCAGGCACTTACCCAGGGTTTGCTGAGCCATGGAGCTACAGCTAGTGTCCTCAGGCTGAGGCTGGTGGCAGAATGCCCTTTGGGATTTATAAGCAGCACTAAAAAGCTTTGTAACATTGCCTGAGTGGGACAAAGGCCAAGGATCTGAGAGAGGTGTGTCTGTGGACAGGACTCAGAAGAGGCGACCCTGATGAAAAACTGTATTCTGAGCATTTCTGATTTTGTAGCCTATGAAAGCCCTTGTGAGTATCGTCTTGTAAATTCTGTATGGCCATTGTAATAGATTACAGAACCCAGCAGAAAAGTAGCAGAGTGCTTTGGGAGGGACACTTGATGTCAGAATGTATGTCAGTGTGTCTGACCTATGCCTCACAGAAATTGGCCTTGAGCTGATGTTACTTTTAGTCCTCCTTCCTTTTTGTGAAGTTAGAGGTTTGAAAGTTCTCTAATGACACTCTTAAGGGAAGTATGTACATTTTCTCTGAAAATAGTTTCCCACATTACCAAGCACAGAAGCCAGCACAGCAGACTAAAGGTCAAGTCTCCTTTCATGCTTATGAAACAATAACGACTAGGTGCAGAAGCGCTGTGGGTTAAAAGAAAACCTTTTGTATTGAATTCATTAGTCACTATGCGTAGTCTCTTGCAATTAGAAAGCTCTCTAGGTGAGCTCCAGCACACAAAAGCACTACAGAGACAAAGATGAAGGTGGTGTATTCTGAGAAATACGATGAAATTGCAGTAATTGGTGGAAAAGCACACTCACCTGGGATCTGGCAGTTAGGCATAGAGCTGCTGCTTCTTCTGTGCTCCTCTCTTGGGGAAGGGAAGAATCCTGGGAAGACAGAGCTAAGAGCAGGAAAGTAGTAAAGATAGGGCCTAGAACTATTCTGTGACTAAGATTTACCAGTCTAAAAATCCCTCTACCATACTGAAGGGGAAGGCAACATACAAGGAGGTTAGCAAACAAACAATGGAGGCAGGGGAAGACGCTAGAAGGAGTGCATCAGTTAAAGGCAACAGAGGTAATACTGTTAGATATATAATCCTTCAATAACAGTGATCGACAAGTAGATACATGCAGACATAGGCTTAATGAGTGTTGGGGAAAGTAGGGATAACCCACAAATGTACAAGAAGATATTTGAACATGGATAAATACTTTTACTTCATGTATATAAATGAATGGAGTGGAGGGAGCAAAGTTATGAAGACTTCCTAAGTATAACCTAACAACTTGAGGGAATGAGTGGTTGGGTTTGGGGGCTCAGGACCAGTCTTGGCAGACACCAGGCATAACATAGTCTAGAAAGACAATATTCTACATCATACTTTGATGAGTAGGGATTGAGCTCATAAGGATCATCTATTGATGCAACTATTGATCTCACCCTGTCCAGGGGAAAGATGACTGAAGAAAATCCAAGATGCATGGAAATAATTAGTCCAATGGACTAAGGGACCACACAACTATCAGTGTCCATGACCCTGAGACCAGAAGAACTAGATGGTGCCCAGTACCCGCTACCAGCTATTCTAAAAGGGATCGCATTTAAAGGTCCTGAATAGTATGGGTGAAAAATGTGGACCAAAACTCAAAATTATCATAGACACCTTACTGGTTATATAAAGACTGGTAGAACTCCAAGACTGGCCCTTAGCCACCCTTAGGGTTTGGAACAGAACTCACCCCATGACTCAATTTTCAGTCACTAGACAGGGCTGGAAGAGGGATCACTGTCACTAGTGAGGTATGCATTCCTTAAAATAATCAACCACTGGAGACCGAATGGCATATTTACCCAAGGACAAAGTTCAGCAGAGTTAGGAAAGGAGGAGGAATGGAAACAAGAAACAGGGAGGAAGTGAGATTACGTGGTGTTACACTGAGGGAATTACAATGACTGAGATAAAAATGTGTATGAACTGTTGAATGTAAAACTGACGATCTGCTCATTAAACATTCACCCCATTCACAAAAAGCCAAAAATCCTTTCATTATATTAATAGTGGGATCTCTACGCTCTACAAAGTTTGAGGCTGAATAGTGGAAGACAGTGGAGAATATCCAGGAGTGTTGCTATTTCAGCTTAAATTCAGTCCTCTGGTCATATTCTGAAAGGTAGCATTCTCTGGCTTAGAAATTAAAACAAGTTAGTTTATTTACTAGCTTAACCTACACTTAATATTGGAGAAGTAGGCTCAATGGTTTTCAAAAAAGCTTATTTAAAATCTATTCCTGGAGCACACCTCCAAATTATTATTGGTTGAGTCTGGAATCCAATCTAGAAATTCTGAAATTCCAATTATTTCTAATGCAGACAGTCACCCATTAAATTAGAAGCTAATCATTGACTTTTTAATGACAATTTCCTCCTTTGTACTCTTTGAAACATGTTTTATTGAAATCATAAGATTATTGTGCAGACAAAATGGGAATAACAGGTGTGGGAATATATATATATATATAATTTTGCTAATTGAAAACCTAGATTCTCGATTCTCGGACCCATTCATGGAGACTCGGACGGCATAATCATTTGAGAGGAAGAATGCGTTAGGAAGTAAAGCAACTGAGGCTGTGATCACTTTCAGAAGCGAACATACTTGCTCGTTTTTGGGGGGAGGCTTTTAAGGGTCCAACGTGCACCCAGCAGGTGTGGGGGGCGGGTGATGCCAAATAAAGTTCTTCAATCTCACTTAACGACCCCCTTCAACCTCCAGGCAAAGGAGGCGGCCCCCTTGGTCAAAAGCCAGATCTCCAGAAGCAACGGTTTGTCCGTCCAAGACCTGGCCCGACTCCCGCCCGGTGCAACCCTCCTGCAATTCTTACCTCTCCTTTGCGGCATTTCAGCCAAATCTGTATCCATGGTTACCACGTTCCTTCCCCCGGACAAAGAGTCGGATCTACGCCCCAAATTCGGATCTCTGTCCGAACAGGCAGAAGTCCCCGAGCCCTCGTGGTCCTTCGGGCCAGGTGTCTGGGGGGACCTTCTGGAAGGTGTCGGTCGGGGCAGGTTTGGTCCCCCTCGGGAGCCTGGCTCGCTCAGGGCGCGGGGGCCTGGAAGCCCGGGGGCAGCATCCCTGAGGCAGAGAAGAGGATTTTGCTGCGGGAGCTGTCCCCACGGAACAGAGGAGCAGACGTGTGAAGAGGCGGCCAGAGGGGAAAATGCACGGCGCTCGGGGCTCTCACCGCTAACCTGGGACTCGCTGGTCTTGCAACCGCAGGAGGGGTTCGGGCCGGAGCGTGAGAGATGGGGGCGCTCCAGCCCCGACTCGGCATGGAACGGCTCCCCCGGGTGGCCACCACCCTGACGGAGTGCACAGGAGATGGGTCCCAAGAACAAACTCACCAAGCTCTGGGAATATGACAAAGGCAGCGAACTTCTGGGGCCAGCGCGGTGGAGCGCATGCGCAAGAAGGTGCGGGGAGAGGCAGGAGGCCCTGGGCCCGCTCCAGAACTACGTTTCCCAGAAGGCCACGGGCACCGCTGGACTCCGTTTCCCAGCAGGTAGGAGCTCGCGTGGCCCGATTGGTAGATTCGAAAGACCACCTTGCTCCTTCTCTCGCGAGAGTGAGGTCCTCCAGGACCGGGGAAGGCACAGTTGTTGGAAATGCTGGGCCAAGTCTGTCTGCACGTGCCCAATTCAGACTACCCTAGTCTTAAGAATGTTTGGCGTCTGTCCATTTTTTGCTTACCCCAAATTCATTCTTCGATGTCAGTGCCGGATAAACATCGACTTGCTTGTGTTTACGTATTCATCTGTAGAGAAAGTTTTTGTTTTTCCACCCAAGAAGACTCTGAGATGTGCCTGGCATCCGTTTCTCTCCCAACCTGACAGCACCTTCCTAAGGAACGAAAGTCTCTTTTCATAGTTTTAATTCCTGACAGGGACTGAAAGTTCTATAAATAAGGCACGCATGGGCTAACGACTTCCTTACTCATCTGCAGTGAATATGTTCTTCACAGTGAGGGTTTACCCTGCTTCCGGGTGATCCATCCGTTTGTCATCAACATTTGGTAGGTGTATTTTTTAGGGTTCCCGCTTATATACTCAGGGAACCTTTTTTTCTTTTAATAAGAAGCCTTGGTGGCTAGTGGATTATGCACTTGATTTTTAATATTAAATCAGCAGTTTGACACCACCAACAGAGGGAGGGAAGGAGAAGAGACTTTCTACCCCTGTACAGAGTTTCAGCCTTGGACACACAGGGGTGGTTCTGCCCTGCCCTCTAGGGTCCTGTGAGTTGGAATGGACTTGATGACATTGTGCTTGGCTTTGCGTTTATTGGCTTGTATATTCATCTTGATATTTGTCCATCATACTAAACATTCACATATGTGATAAGAACTGAAAAGATGGAACCAGTCAACAGATTCTGGTTCTTTGTAGGCATTATTGCAATTTTTCAGTTTCATTTTTGGCTTGGACATGTTGGTTTTGGGGATCATGGTTAAGTAATTCTGTTATGGGACTAATTTACCCATTTCATACTCAAGTGATCAAAACTTACTTATGTCCCAAACATGCTTCTTCTCTTATTAATGAGTGATAATACTCACTCACTCCATGGTACAAGGAATCCTGGTGGTGTAGTGGGCTACTTGTTGGGCTGCTAAGGTCAGAAGTTCGAAAACATCAGCCACTCTGAGAGAGAAAGATGAGGTTTCCTATTCCTGTAAAGACTTACAGTCTCAGAAACTGATAGAGGCAGTTCTACCCTGTCCTATAGGGTAACTATGAGTCACAGTGACTCAATGGCAGGGAGTGAGTGAGAACCAGATTATCATCAACAGTAGTTATTTCTCACTGTCTTTCACTAAAACCTATTTATTAATTCTTATTCTCCAGTTTGCTTACATATCTCAATTCCCATAAACATTCGTTTTGGCCAACTCCACTTCATTAAGGTTACTAGAATTCCTTACCTCCAGGTTCACCCCATACCCACTCCACATCTATTTTTCACAGCCTGTGATCAGAGAGAGTTCTAAGGAAGATGTGACGTTACTTTACTCCTTAAAGTTCTTCAGTGGTGTCTAAAACTCTCAGGGCAAGATGAGTTACAGTTCCCACAAGAAGATACCTGTGGAAGACTTTAAAGTGTCCTTCATGATCCCCCATCTCCTAGAATTCACACACAGGTACATCCCCTCCTTTGAGTGTGGGTGGGAACTTTGACTTGCTTCTAACCAATAGAATAGGCAAAGGTGATAAGATTCTAATGCTTATCTTGCCAGCAGACTCACTCATTGGCTTTGAGGAATCCAGCAGTATTGTTGAAGTATTATTCATGCGGCAAGGAATTGATGGTGATAGCTAGCCAACAGACAAGATCTTGAGTTCCACACCTTGCAATGACCCAAATCCTGTCAACAACCATGTGTACTTCTTCCCTAAGAGAACCTTCACATGAGACTGTAGTTCAGGCTGATACTTAGACAACATGATGTAGAGGACCTTGCTAAATTGTGTGCAGAACCCTTACAGAAATAATAAATGTGAGATAATGTGTGCTGCTTTTTGTCATTAAACACACACACACACACACACACAACTGACCTCTGCTATCCAGTCGATTCTGACGACCTATATAAAGTAAATTTTGCCTTGAGCACATGGGTGTAGCTACCAATTTTGAAAAGCAGTCCAATGCTTACTTGACGGCATCATCACGGCTTCTTTTTTGCCATTAAGTATGTGATAATGTTGTTACAGAGGTTCCTGGGTGATGCAAATGGTTGCATTTAACTACTGATTGATAGGTTGGCAATGTGAACCTTTGAGCCAACCTAGAGGCACCACAGGATCTACTTCTGTAATTATTATAATCAAGAAAACCCTACACTTTAACACATGGGGTTGCCACCAATTGGAAGTGACGTGACAACAATGGGGTTTGTTGTTATTGGTAATATTGTTACCTAGCAAAAGATAAGGAATACAGCATCTAAACATGTACAGCTAGCTCCTTTCCTAAAACTTAACCTGGAAATGCTTTGGAAGGAAGATGTTGTTGGATTGAGAAACTACTGAAAATTTTGTTGGAAACTCTTTGAGAAACTGATTCTACTTTGTCCTAGGATATGGTGTGTGTGTGTGTGTGTGTGTGTGTGTGTTGCTGGTGGTGGGGAAGGTAGAGAATGCAGCTGCAATCAGAGTCCTAGATATCCCAGGAGAGTTGGGGCCAAGATGCTGTAGGCAATAGGGTGCTTTTTAGAGTTTTATTGTCTATCTTTCTGCCCACTCCCACATTGCTCTGGATAAATCTTTGTCCATTCTTTTGCCATTGTACAGCATAGCCTTGGAGCTGGACTGATTGGGGAATGAATAGCAATGTATAGCCCCAAAGATGATTTTATTCACTTTTATCCCCACCCTTATCTGGAGCCCTGGTGGATAGTAGTTAAGCATTGGGCTGCTAAACCACCAGCCAGCTCTGTAGGAAAAAGATGGGCTTTCTACTCCTGTAAATAGTTAGTCTCGAAAACCACAGGGGCAGTTCTACCCTCCTTTAGTGTCACTATGAATCAGTATTGACTCAGTGGTAGTGACTCCCCCACACACACACACACACAGAGTATTAAGTCAGATAAAAAATAAAAAGATGAAATTGAGACATCCCCTGAGAAGCAAGGTCACTTGGTATACAGTGGGGGAGGTGGAAAATGAGGAATGGGCTTGTCCAGGTTTTAACAATAGATTCTCAGCTTTGAGACTACTCAGGAATCGCTAAAATTCATCTATACAATTCCTTTACAAGTTTGCCCTTCCTAGCGAGTCTAAGAAGGAATGATGCACACTTTAGGACTCGGATTCCCTTCCCTACTCACTTTACCAGTTTATACCTGAGCATGATGAATACAAACTCGGGGAAAAAGAGGATATCCAAGGTGTTTAACGTCTGTAAAAGAAAACAATAAGGCCTCTTCCAGACTCCACAGGGCTGGCGAAGAACATGGCTGAGCGTGCTGCCTCTGAGGAGGAGGCCGTAGAGGACCCGAGGGGGACCCAGTTTGTATGCCAGACGGTGATCCCGTCCCTGACCTTGGACGCTGGCCCTGTTCACAACCCGCCTTGCCGACCGAAGTCCCTGCAGTTGAAATCCACCTCTCTGAAGGAGATAGACCCTTGGTGAAGAGAGAGAGGAGATTGTCCATATCACTGAAGAAGAATTTGCTGAAGAGGAGGAGGAGGAGGAGGAGGAGGCGGAGGAGGATGAGCTCAAAGACCACGTTTAGAGTCAGTCCTCTGCTTCCTCAGCCGCCCCTTGGGAGACTCCAGGTACAGGTCTGCCCTCTCTCCTGGAGTGAGGGACTGAAAGGTTGAGGCTGAACTGGAATGAGCCGAGGCTGGGGAGAGACTCCCTGGAGAAGAGAACCAGCCACAGGGTCAGAACATCAAGACATCCTCCCAGACTCTGGAAACAGTGCCCCTCACTCCAGAGGTGGTGGGGCCTCCACCTCTCCTGCCCAGGAGCCCTCCTTGTGTACAGAAGCATGGTCCCTCGGGAGTGGAGTTACCGGTTGCCACCCCAGAAGTTCCTCCAGGCCCTGAGCAGATCAGAGAGCCCAGCGGCTCATCAGGACATGTGAACAGCGGACAGAAGAGCGGTGACCACTCAAGGCACCACCACGGGACCAGCGTTGCTGGAGGACTAGTGAAAGGGGCTTGGTCCGTTGCTGCCTTTGCACACAAGGTCCTGTTCGCTGGGCCACCAGTCACTGCACAGCCAGTCGTTTCTGAAGACCAGGCAGCCGCTTTGAGGGCCCACCTCTTTGAAATGGGATTCTGTGACAGGCAGCTGAACCTAAGGCTGCTGAAGAAACACAATTACAATACAACATCCTGCAGGTGGTAACAGATCTCCTTCAGGTCAGCAACAATGAGTGGTACAGCCACTGCTATTGAAGAGTTTCCGTGTATTAAATAACTAACTGCCTGCTGCTCAGAGATGCCTTTACTCTGCTCTTGGTGTTGGGTAGAAGCCCCCTGTGTGGTTTTTAATCTCATGAATATTTGTATAGCCCACCATTGAATTATCAAGACAATACCTGCAAGACAGTATTTTGGGGGGAAGCAATTTAAGACCAGGATGTAAATTTTTCCTGTAGACACTGGGTGAATGGTAAGAAGACACTGGGAAGTTGATGGAGGTAAAACTCCTTTTTCCATTTCAGTGTATGGAAGAGTATACTTTATTTTATTTTTTATTTTTAATCATTTTATTAGGGGCTCATACAACTCATCACAATCCATACATACATCAATTGTGTAAAGCACATTTGTACATTCATTGCCCTCATCATTCTCAAAACATTGCCTCTCCACTTAAGCCCCTGGCATCAGGTCCTCATTTTTGGAAGAGTCTACTTTAAACCACCTGGAGAACCAGTTTTCTTTTCTGCTT